TCTAATTTAATTACTCGTTATTTTGAGGTAATCTTTATTTTAGCACAATGATTTTTAGCCATAAATCCCGTCCTGAAACAAGTGGAATGTTGTTTAAATATAACTCAACAGTTACTTTTTAAGTCAGTGTTAAGCGTCATATGTCACCGCACGGAGAAGCTACCTCTGGGGTTGGGCAGTAGAAGGAGGGGGAGGTGGGGAAAGAGAGAATAAGGGAGGGAGGAAAGGCCAAAAATTCCTTGATCAAACATTTGCCAGAATGTTATGAGATGACGTTAACTGCCATTTGCTGGTGCCAGAAGGAAGACATCGTCTTGCTGCTAACAATGCTCCCAAGGATAGACAATAACTAAAGTTCACTTTCTCTAAGTTCATGTTCATTTCTTCCTAGGAAAAGTTTGAAGTCAATCACACGAGACTTCATTCGAAACTACAGCTGTAATTATCGACAAAAGATGAAAAGATGGTTTTAAAATGATCAGTAAATCACTTAGGTTATACCTACAATATCATATCAATATCATATACAACTCGTTGAAGCTTAAAATAAGAATCATCTACTTTGAAAGGTGGTCAACTGATTGCATCGCTATCCCTTCCCAGTTGTGTGTGACACAAATGGGAGGGGTAATAATGCAATTAGTTGGCTACCTTAATCTGAAACTTTTATAGTAAGCGTGGATGATTGTATGTGATACTGATATGATATTGTAGTATAACCCAAGTTATCGCCAGTACTATAAGGCGATTTTGACAACCTTCTATTGCAGAGCACTGAGGGCTAAAGCATGCAAAGCGTGCTATTGTCCGAAAGAAGTCGTGATGCAGCTAAGAGGAAGGAGGTTATTAATTCGTTTTGACATAACACGTTTGACCCTGCTTACGGCCCTTAGAAGTTAACGCATTTCTACACCCATGTTTCTTCGTTATCATCACATTTCGCGATCCCTACTCAAGTTCAAAAGGCAGAAAGAAACTTTTATTCATAAAACGCAACAATGAAAATTTCAAAATAACCAGATTGTTTTATTCAAAGTAAAACAGTATTATATAATTATACAAATATTCATGAAGGGAATCATTTTACCAGGAAATTTTCTGAAAGTTTCTGTGGTTTTAAATTAAATCGTAGAAACATTGTTTTGTGAATTTAATTATGAGTCGGATATCAACACAAATTGGTTTAGTTTATCTCAAATGACTGTTCTGTCCATGTATTTAGAAGGGTCAACGACGACATCAACGAGTAGAACCACAGTTGCGAGGCCATCTATGTCCACAATACCGAATTTGTATACTACGACCGAAGAAGATTTTGGTAAAATAATCTTTTAAACTGATTTGAGTTTCATTCACATATAATATTGATTTCTATCACCGGATACAAATAAATGGGAGCAAATTACATAGGAGACTGCGGAGGATGCAGCAATATGGTGGCTCGTGCTATAGCAGTAACGAACACGTACAACGGCATGATGGTGCTTGACCACAATCTGGACGGAAATGGCTGCAAATTTGTAGAAGTCCGTTGCGTTCCTACTAAGGCAAGTGATTTTGGATTTGTTGTTGCAACTGAGTATTAACAAGTGAGAGCATTCTACAAGTGCTAGTTGCAAAATTTAGGCAAATGAAAATGCTACCTTAGTTGTCAACGAAACGCAAGCTCTAATGAGCGGTGTAGGATCGCACCAGGTAAGATTCCCATGCAACAAAGATGGATTTTGGGAGAGTAGCGCGGGCACAATCGTCAGTAGTGTCTCTTGTTTGATCGAAAGTGAGTCAGAGTCAATGAGCAATGACTTGGGGCTTTCGAAAATTAGATTAACCGATATCATTATTTTCTAGTTACTTCAAGTGAAAATACATCCCCACCGGAGAGCACTAGCGAAACACCAGTCACAACTACTACAACCACGCCACCTCCAGGGAAAGGTAGTGCCAAAAAAGCAACTACGATTAGCTAGAAAATTGCTTAAGATGAGCGGCAGACATGTGTTGAGTCAAAAATAACTTCATTGCTTTACAAAAATAGACGAAAAGCTTGTTTTTTTCGCACTTTTATTTCATTGAAAAGAATCCTTTGACGCAGAAAACCTCATTTATGCTTAAAAGATAATAACACGCCGCCGTCTATATGCGAAGGTAGTTCGGAACAACTATAATAATGCCTTAAAGGCAGTGTCCGGTCAAAAAGGATTTTAGATTCT